CCGCGGCATGTGGGATCTTCCCGGACCGGGGCACGAACCCGTGTCCCCTGCATCGGCAGGTGGACTCTCAACCACTGTGCCACCTAGGAAGCCCCCAACTTCCTCTTTGAAGAGGAAATGTAGAGGCCTCTGAAGAGACACAGCTGTATAAACAGAAACCTCTGGGGGGTGAGGGGTAGCTCCTCAGAGGAGATGAATTTAAGAATATTTATTAAGGGAACTCTTGTACACTGTTGGTGGGAATGTAAATTGGTGCAGCCACTATGGAAAACAGTATGCAGGTTCCTCAAAAAACTGAAACTAGAACTACCATATAATCCAGCAATTCCACCCCTGGGTATATATCTGAAGAAAACAAAAACACTAATTTGAAAAGATACATGCACCTCCATATTCAGAGCAGCATTATTTACAATAGTCAAGATGCAGAAGCAACCTAAATGTCCATCAATAGATGAAAGGATAAAGATGTGGTGTATATATATATATATATATATATATATATATATATATATATATATATATATATATATATACACACATACAATGGAATGTTACTCGGCCATAAAAAAGAATGAAATTTTGCCATTTGCAACAACGTGGATGGACCTAGAGAGTATCATGCTTAGTGAAATAAGTCAGACAGAGAAAGGCAAATACTCTGTTATCATTTATATGTGGAATCTAAAAAATAAAATAATGTATATACAACAAAACAGAAACCAATTCCTAGATGTTGAGAACAAACTAGTGGTTACCAACAGGGAGAGGGAAAGGGGGAGGGGCCAGATAGGGGTTGGGCTTAAGAGATACAAACTACTAGGTATAAAAAAGATAAGCGACAAGGATGTATTGTATAGCACAGGGAAATACCGCCATTATTTTGTAATAACTTTAAATGGAGTACAATCTATAAAATATTGAATCACTATGTTGAACACCTGAAACTAATATAATATTGTAAATAAACTATATTTCAATTAAGCCCCTACTGGGTGAAAGGCCAAGTACTAGAGAAACCGCAGAGATACCATGAGGAAAAAGGGAGGATGTGGTCCTGTATACTCGAGGAGATGATATTCCAGCGGGGGAGAGACACAACAACAAAAAGTAAACAAATACGTAAAATGATTCCCTACTGTGGTAAGCATTAACAAGAAAACAACAAGGGGCTAAGAAAGAGGTTAGTGGGAGGTCAAGAACACAGGTCAAAGGAGGGGAATGAAGGAACTTGGTGATCTTGGGCAGAGAGGGATGATATGAGGAGAGCTGGAAATGGAAAGGAGCAAAGGCCTTTCCCTAGGATTAGGGCAGTGAGAACGCGTGCAGCTGCTGGTCTCAGCCCCTGGCCCTTTCTGGCCTTAACTCATCCCCCAGCTGTCACCCCTGCACCCTGTCATTGACTTAATGATTCACTCTCAACTTCCCCAGCTTCCTGTGTGGCAGGGAGGGGGTGAGGCAGAGCCCTGGCTCTCTGAGTTCT